GTCGCACGGTTGCATGCATGTAAAATTGGATCGGGGTAGCAAGAAGGGCTAGACTATCCCTCGGGTGAGAGGCCCGATGATTGGATACGCACTCCGTTGGTATAAGAGCCCAAGAAGTGTGTCGGTGTACGTGGAACCGTTGGTGGAAGTCCATGAATTCCATGTCAGTTAGGTGTCGTTGGTGTAAGTCCATAAATATCCACCCCATATAAAGACCCAAAGATTTTAAATAGCCATTTAGAGGATAATATAAATGGCGGGAGCTAAAGGGGCTCAGTTTTATATGCATTGACAATTGCATGTGTTGAGGAGCCGGGAAAAGGCTCGGGGTTAAAATGCGGGATTGAATCTCATTTCATTCATGGCATGACATGGTAAGTTCCATGGTGAATTCCAACATGGATTACATAATTCTTGCATTGGAATGAATTTTTGGTTGTGTTTTGTTGCATAATACATTGCATATGCACTTAGGGGGAGTAGCCCTCGTAGGAAATTTTCTATTGAGCGTTGGCTCACCCTATACGGGAAAAATATTTCAGGTGCGGACTACACTCCGATGGATGGCACTCATTCGGGGCATCAACAATGAAGAAAAGTCGGATTGTGGCTTTTGGAAACAAGTTTTTGTAAAAACTTTTATTTAAAACTCATTTGGCACGTAAATGTATGGAATGAGTTGTATTAGACGTTGTATATATTAGATTATATGTGAAAAACATGATTTAGTATGTTTTGAATGAAAATTGTAGGTTTTGGAATGGCTTAAAAATCGACAACAGGTGAATTAGGCAAAATTGGACAAAGTGTACCGGTACTGCGTGCCGGTACTGTCTGTCTAGAAGGCAACCGTACCGGTACACATTACCTGTACTGTCTCCTAAAATTTGAAATTTTTAAATTATTTTGTCATACTTTTGGGCCTTGTTTTCCTTGGTTCCAATGATACAAATAGACATTAAATAAAGTATATTGGGCTTGGTCAGATTAAATGATTAAAAGAACAATGGTAATACGTGTGAGTTAAAATTTCAGGTAATGGAACAATAACAGCATGATGTCGGATCAAGCGACACTCACGGGCAATTTCGCGGGTTGACGGGTGGTCAATGGATTAAATAATGACTCTCGATTTTAGGTGCGTCACAGCTTGATTGGAAGGAATCAGACCCCATCTGGCGTTCGAACGCCCTCAAAGCAAAGACACAGACAACGTTCGAACGGCATCTCACTTTCGAACGTCCTTAAAGAAAAGACAGACTTAACGTTTGAACGCCAGATCACATTCGAACGTCTCCCACTGACTGGCTGCAGAGTTGTTGGCTTTTTACTTGGACTTGGACGGCAAACACTATTCCTTCACCCCTCCCCCCCCCCTCCCCTTCCTTACCTATAAATACTCCCATGTTGGGAGCTTAAAGGGCATTCTTCCTCTTGTAGAGTAAAGGGGGAGCAATCCTTTTTCTTGTAAAGTAAGAGAGTGTTTAGTAATCTAGTTCTTGAACATTTCATGTTTATGTTTTCGTTTTGCCATTTATATCAACCATGATGGAGGCTTAGACTCCCCTTGTAGTTGAAGTCTTTTATTTACTTATACTAAGTCTTTACATTCATGTTGTAACAACCATGATGGAGGCTTAGACTCCCCTTGTAGTTGTACTTGCTTTTATTTACAAAGTATCAAGAGAGATAGTTCATCTTTTGGTTGCGGTGAAAATCCTCCAAAAGTAATTAGCTTTCTTCTACTTTTATTGTTCATGTATTGCACTTCTATTGCTTGAGCATCCTTCCTTCTTAGAATAGTGAAACTCTTCCACTTTTCTAGAGCTTTACCAAGCCGTGAAGGGTGCAAAGTGATTCACTTATTCTTCATTGAAGATAAGCTCATTGTTTAGTTTGCTTCACTTAGTAGCTCCTCTACTTAGAGGGATGAGTAGCATTCACTTTTCTAGCTTTGCCAAGGCCATAAAAAGTGAGTAGTTCCTCATTCACTCTTTAGTAAGAGGTGATGAATATATAAAGATTATCCGGAAGCTATGTTTGTGCAACTCCTTCATGCTTTAATGCTTTATATTCCACCTGTTTATTGGATGATTGAATTCATCTAGCAAAGTTGAGGTACTTTGTATAACCAAGGGCTTCCTCTATGATACGGATGACTCCTGCATAGAAAGACCCAGTGGTTCAAGGCAAGCACTCTAGCTAGCTCTTCATAACAACCTTTCAATCTCCACCATTATTGCCCTTTATTCAAAGAATGGACTCTTAATACCATGGTTGGATGCCTTGTAGAAACACTTGCTTGTTTGTAGATGGGTTAAGTCTCAGCACAGACAATTCTTGTAAACTTCTAGAAAAGTATCGGAATCATGTGTTTAATTCTCACAATCCATCTTTATCTTTCGATTAACTTGTTATTGACACGGGAATTAATTGAGTTATAAAACACAAACAAAATAAACCGGATAGTCTATTACATGTCCTGATCCTCGAGTTAAAGGGTGGCTGTTACATTTTGAGAATCTTATATTTTGTCTAGAAGACTCTTGAAAAGAATCTTCTATTCAATTCAAGAACCCCACCACTCCAAACTCTCGAAATTTTCAGTTACTTGGTCTTTATTATTGCTTACTTTAAAACACCAATCATAGTTCCCTGTGGATTCGACTCCAGACTTAACCGAATTATTACTACAACTTGACCGCCTGCACTTGGGTGTACATATTTCGGATCAAGTCAGACACAACGAGATGATCTAGGTGAGAATTTATCGCAATGAGCGGTGAGGGTTTGAGCGTAGCAAAGGCAACCAAACACACGTAGGTGAGTGTATGATGGGGGGGTGTTGAGAAGAAGTTGGAAAGGGGTTTGATTTTGTAGAGAGTGACTTGGGGTTCTATTGATTAGGTAAGCAACGGTAAGAACACAATCTCCCCAAAATTTGAGTGGTAGGTTTGCCTAAAAATGAAGGTTACGAGCAACATTCAGGAGGTGCCTATGTTTACGCTCTGCAACGCCATTTTGTTGCGGAGTTTCAACACAAGTACGCTCATGAATGATGTTGTGAGTGTGAAAATAGGTTTGGAGGTTATGTGAAAGGAACTCTTGGCCATTGTCGGTGCGAATTATTTTAATCGATGAGTTGAATTGATTTTTAACAAGAGCGAAAAAATGCATTAAGTGACTAAAAGTTTCTTATTTAAAACGCATTAAATAAATCCATGTAGTGCGTGAAAAATCATCAACAATAGTCAAGATAGAATAGCCACCCCAAATATCACAATAAAGACAATTAAAAGGGATCGTACTTTTATTAGCATGCATTTGAAAAGGTAAACGTGTGCTTTGAACGCTCACAAACATCACAATGAGAGAGAATACATGGATTATCAAAAATTTTGGGAATGGTAAAGCTAGAAGGATGACCTAGGCGTTGATGCCATAGAGTTTTATTGTTAAGATGATGAACAGAGAATGCGACGGTCTTTTGGGGGCGAAAGAGGTAGAACCCATTGCATGCCTCACCCGCTCCAATCAGCCTCTTCGATGGAGGGTCCTGAAAAAAACATTTATCAGATGAGAAAAAAACAACACAAGATAAGTTTTTAGTGAGCTGAGGGATAGAGAGGAGATTATAATAAAAAGAGGGGACATAAAGGACATTATGAAGAATCAAATGGTTAGATAAAATCACAGATCCAATTCCTTCAACAAGAATCGTCTCTCCCGTGGGTAGCCTCACTGTGCGAGCAATGGAAGGCAAAGTTAGACTGGAGAAAGAGGATCGACAAGGGCTCATGTGGTCACTAGCGCCACTGTCGATGATCCATTCGGTGTGTGGGTCGAAGGAGCAAGGCATTGTGGAGGAGTTACCCACGAAATTAGCAGTCAGAGAAGAGGAATGAAGCAGCATCATCAGTTGCTGGTAGCTCTCCAGCGATAGACCCGAGATGGGGCTTGAGGTGACACCGACGAGAGTAGCAGCAGTAGCAACCGGTGGTTTTCCAAGTATGGATGATTGATTGCTGCGAGGTTCACGGCCAGGAGGATAGCCAATGATAAGCCAACACCGATTGCGTAAGTGCCCATTTTTTCCACATTCAGTACATTTGAGAGGGGGTCGGTTGTTGGGGGTGGACTTGGCGGCAAGGGCTAGGTTTTCTGAGGGTGACTGAGAGACATGAAGGAGACGTTGTTGCTCCTCTTGGAAAAGAATGGAGAAAACTTTGTTGAGGGGTGGGAGGGGATCCGTGGCTAGTATTTGGGTTCGAAGGGCCGCGAATGAGTCATTGAGACCTAGTAGAAACTGGAACACGCGCTCATCCTCAGCTCTTTTCTCCAAGGTACTAGCATCGGTGGGTGATTGGAGGTTGCCAAGTTCATCCCAGAGTTGCTTGATGCTATTGTAATAATCAGGGGTGGAAAGTTGGTTCTGATGAAGATTGGATATTTCTCGTTTGAGATGAAATAGACGGGCATTGTTGCCATGGCAGAACTGTGACTCAAGATCAAGCCATACATCACGAGGATCATCATGGCAATCCAAGGAATTGGCTAAGGAGGGAGTGATGGTATTAAGGATCCAAGTGAGGACCATGTCTTTGGTCCTGTTCCATTGGGCATAACCAGGAGAAGTTGTGGCTGGTGCTTTGAGGGAGCCATCAACGAAGCATAATTTATTTTTTGTATTGAGGGCTCACCGAAGTGCGCGTTGCCATTTGGGAAAGTTATCTCCGGTGAAATGGCCGGATACAAGAACAAGACTAGGGGAATCAAAAGGGTGTAGAAGATAGGGAGAAGAAAATTGGGAAGCATAGGCATCTGAAGCCATGAGGATGTTGGGCGAAGGTATGTCAGGATTTTTGTTTGACTCTGATACCATGTAAAGAAGTAAATTGGTAGAAAAAAACAATTGTATCTTTTCTCATTGAGCAGTATGCTTTATATAGCTATACACGGCTATGATTTACATGAAAATAAAATAAAAGAAATCTATACAAATGAATGTCAAATATTCTATAACAAATGGTTTAGCTAAATTTGTGGGATTGCTAAAATCATGGGATTTCTATATGCTGTAATACTCCCCCTTGTCCACTCCAAATCCGATCTGCTGCTGAGAGTGTTAATGTTTCAGTCAACATGATCTTCACATTTGCCATTGCTCAAGGTTTCCTGATGATGCTTTGCCACCTTAAGTTCTTCTTGTTCATCGTCTTTGCGGTCTTCGTGATATTGATGAACCTCTTTGTATTCTTCTTCTTGCCGGAGACTAAGGGAACTCCGATTGAAGAGATGGAGATTGTATGGAAGAAACATGGGTTCTGGTCGAGGTATACGACCGATGTCAAATCAGACAAGAAAGATGTCATTGACAGCGATGTCTAAACTTGTTTTTCAAGCTTTGTTTCATGTTCTCCTCACCACAGTTGCTCACTTTATTGGCATTTTTTGAGGTTATACGCATGAACACACCGAGTCCACCAAGTATCTGATAGCTCAACTTTTATTGTAAAAGTTTGGTCCTTCCAATTTCATTTTATTGTAAAATTCTCCGGTTGGTCATTTCCCTTCAAGTATTTAACTGAGAAACAAAAGGTGTGAATAATTTTTTCATTCATGCCCCTTCAAAATATGAATATATGCATATTATATCGCACATATGCAAGTTATCGGTGACTGATTTACGTTATTTCACGTATCAAACATGCTATTTTTTTTTCGCTACTTATATGGGCAAAAATTCAATGCTACAATAATCTCAGATGTGAACCATTCTAATGAAAATAATTGGAGAAAAGGGAATTCGGCTTTTTTCTCATTGAAAAAATCAGAATCATGTAGATTATCCAGGACTTCTCTATAAATAGCATAAGTATCAAAAAGATCCAACTATAAGAAACCTGAGAACTACAAAAATAAAATTAGGCTGACATATAACTTATCTTCATTTCTGCACACTCAAATTCTGCTTGTATTCAAAAATACTTTTAATGGTACAACATAGTGTGCAAGACTCTCGTTACTACGCGCACAAAGAGACTATCTTCGTTACTCAAGCCCGTGACGTCTACGTAACAATTTAACAACCTTGCTACTGCTCCAAGATCTACCTTCAAAAAGAATCCTCTAGAGAGAAATTATCTTGGTTAAATTCTGTCTCTACCCCTTCATGACCATCAAATTCATCAAGGCCTAACAATGTCTCAATTGGAAGTTCCTCGTTTGCAACAAAATCTTCCTCCAACAAATTGCCGTACTCAACGAGTTTCTCATATGTTTGTTCTGTGGTATCATCTTTCATATTCAGAGGTACAATTTTCATTGCCAGTTTGGAGGACTTCTTCAATCTTGAAGGTGTCCTGTTCATCCTTCCAACATCCTTATTGAAACTTTCCGATTGTTTATCTCGAATTTTTGAGGATTTTGTTCCTGAATTAAACACAAGCCTTCTTTTCCACTCCCCGTTTAAATCCAATTTCCTGTTTTGGATTGTTAATTCAATAGAATTGATGAAGGTATTCTCAGGTGATCCAACTTTGCTCTTGCGAGGTGACATTGTAAACNTTTAAATCCAATTTCCTGTTTTGGAGTGTTAATTCAATAGAATTGATGAAGGTATTCTCAGGTGATCCAACTTTGCTCTTGCGAGGTGACATTGTAAACAACTCCCATGTAGCCTCCGCACCCGAATCATATTTCTTATCCGATGGCCAGAAAAGTGGTTCATCAGTGCTGAAACTATCCAAATCCACAGTTTGTGATATATAATCAGGACCTGAACATGAAACAAGCTGTGATTCTTCTTGTTTTATTTGATTCAGTGAAGAAAAAACACTACAATTAAAACAAGATTGGACTTCAGAACCCCTATTGCTCTGACATTCCAAGTCTGATTGAGTGTCCTCTCCATCAAAATTCACCAAAGATGCCCAGAAATCTGTCCTGTTTATATTCAAAATCCGGGGGGAATCAATATCGGCGAGGTACACAGACGAGGAATTATCAGAACTCGATGAATCCTCCCTGGACAGCCCGAAAGAAGACACAACAGAAGAGCCCTTTAATTCATTCCCAATGGAGCTAACAAGCCAAGTAACTGCCTCTTCTTCCTTCAAAACTTCCTCCAAAATTCTCTCTTCATCCACAGAAGTTTTCTCGAGAACCAGAGATGCCTCATCTATTGGATTTATTCTTGATCCATCAAACAAAGAAATCGTCTTACCCAAAAAGAGATCCGATAGGAAAGAAACTAACCACTCATCGAACGAAAGGTCCAAAAAAAAGGATAATTTGTAACTGTCAAAGCAAGACGAAGGAGATGCACTTCCTGAAGATAACCACATACACTTATCATCATCAGGCCATCCTTCCTTCCCAAACTGCTTAGTATAATCACCATCTTCTTCTTCTTCTTCTTCGGATACAGGAAAAACCGCGGCTGTCTTCTTTCTGGATTTNAAGCCATCCTTCCTTCCCAAACTGCTTAGTATAATCACCATCTTCTTCTTCTTCTTCGGATACAGGAAAAACCGCGGCTGTCTTCTTTCTGGATTTACATATAGGACCCTTCTCGCGAATTCGTAACTTGATGCTTGTATTTCGATTTTGAGAGCCAATTGGTTTTGGGTTGCGATGCTGATAATCTTCATGGTGGATATGAAAATTCTTATTCTTGTTTTTTGGAGATGAAGAGGAGGAGGCTAAGTCTACAACATTGCTTGAGGTCTCCTTCTGAGTGAGTCTCATAGTGCTGAATTTCTGCTAAATCAATGTTACAATGGGGTAGACGAGTGAATTGCAAAACAAACAAGAAAAAGAACATAGGAAATCTAACGGATGCCGGATTAAAACCGGCTAGTTAATTAATTTCAAATGGAGACAAAAGGACAGGTATGATATGAATGGAGATATAAACTGACAAAAGAATGGCCAATTAAGCTCATTAAACTAACCGTCAAAGATAAGAGAGAACAGAACACGTCTGATGTCATCTGATCATGGTTCCATAAACCATGAGTCTCACTCGACATCGCCCATATCATTCCATATGACTATTTCAAATGGAAATTTATACACTTCAATAGAGAAATTTAAATTTAGAGGGAGAGAAACTCAAATTTAAATGATGACAACCCTAAATTTAAATGATGACAAATTCAAATTTAAATTAGGGTAACCATAGGATCTTTAAAAAAAAAAGTGAAATCTCACCATTTAAGTCGTGATTTGAGGGGAAAAAAAAAAGTCTCCCTTCATTTAATATGAGTATGAATCTAACATTGAAAAAGATTTTTAAGAGTTTTTTATCCAAGTTTAAATTTAGGTTAAAAAAAAAGTAAGAATTTAAGATGCTCCAAGATACCAAGATATGACTTGAATTCTATCTAGTATTTTGTGTGTATGACCCGATACATTTCTGTGTCGCCTTAATCAATGAGCCGTTGTTCCCTCCAATTAGTAGTTGATACCGCAACCTGGATTGAACCATTCTATGATACCAAACCAAAGTCGATAAAACTAAAAACTTCCTACAATGAAGAGAATAAAAAGATAGANAATTAGTAGTCGATACCGCAACCTTGATTGAACCATTCTATGATACCAAACCAAAGTCGATAAAACTAAAAAGTTCCTACAATGAAGAGAATAAAAAGATAGAGAATGATTTATAGGGAAGAAGTCAACAGAACAGTTATGTTTGTGGTACAAGATAGAATAGAAAAAGGTCCTCTCAATGAAGGTACTTACTGGAAAAAAAAAAACCATTCAAAGAAAGTATAAATGCCAACAACCCAATAATCTAGAAACTATGAGGAATTGGAACTTTTTTCTTTTCTTTTCTTTTCTTTTCTTTTTCCTTATCCATTTGAGTAATTAGATCAAGTCAACAGGCCTCCCTGCTACACAAATACANATTAGTAGTTGATACCGCAACCTGGATTGAACCATTCTATGATACCAAACCAAAGTCGATAAAACTAAAAACTTCCTACAATGAAGAGAATAAAAAGATAGAGAATGATGTATAGGGAAGAAGTCAACAGAACAGTTATGTTTGTGGTACAAGATGGAATAGAAAAAGGTCCTCTCAATGAAGGTACTTACTGGAAAAAAAAAAAAAAACCCATTCAAAGAAAGTATAAATGCCAACAATCCAATAATCTAGAAACTATGAGGAATTGGAACTTTTTTCTTTTCTTTTCTTTTCTTTTTTCTTATCCATTTGAGTAATTAGATCAAGTCAACAGGCCTCCCTGCTACACAAATACACAAAAAATGTAGATTTCGATACACTCAATTTGATTTTATTTTTTTTTAAATTTCAGCCTAATTCAATCATTCGTCGTTAAATTTATTAAATCCACTATTGAATTATTATTCGCCCCACACCCTGTCAATTGGACCCAATTAAATTGATCTTGATTGAATCAATAAAAGCTAACACTAAGAGCAAGCAAATCTGAAGANTTTTTTAAAAAAAATTTCAGCCTAATTCAATCATTCGTCGTTAAATTTATTAAATCCACTATTGAATTATTATTCGCCCCACACCCTGTCAATTGGACCCAATTAAATTGATCTTGATTGAATCAATAAAAGCTAAAACTAAGAGCAAGCAAATCTGAAGAACGCTATAATGTACCACTTTTACAAGCAGAAGTTTTAGAACTCAGTCAACAATGCACCACAAGAAGTACATTCCATTAATAAAGATACTAGAAGAGTGGATTTGGTACAAACTTGACTTTTGATTTTATTTCATGAATTGGTTGTTTTCATAGTCAAATTCCAATAAATTCATTTGCACCAAATTTTCTACATCAAATGATATTGTATAATCACAATCATCTGATGTTAAGTGAGAGCAATGCGACNACACTAAGAGCAAGCAAATCTGAAGAAAGCTATAATGTATACCACTTTTACAAGCAGAAGTTTTGGAACTCAGTCAACAATGCACCACAAGAAGTACATTCCATTAATAAAGATACTAGAAGAGTGGATTTGGTACAAACTGGACTTTTGATTTTATTTCATGAATTGGTTGTTTTCATAGTCAAATTCCAATAAATTCATTGCACCAAATTTTCTGCATCAAATGATATTGTATAATCACAATCATCTGATGTTAAGTGAGAGCAATGCGACCCACTAAAGAAATCATCCATAGTTCTTTAATGTAAAAAAATTTGAAAATTATAATGTTATTTAATTCAAATAAATAACTATGTTGCTAAGTCGATGCCTTTACAATATAAAGTTATAGCTATATCTCAACACTTCTAATCGAAAATGTAAGAGCTGTCCGGGTGACTTGAAATACCAAGTCAAAAGTTCCGAGGATTGTAATATGAATGTTTGAACGCGGCAATACCTATGCCAACAACCCACCCGCCTAGAAACAACAATATTATACAATCTGACAATCTAATTTAACATTGCAACTGTTTACACCTAAATCTATACTACTTTAAAATATCAGCATACATAAAAAACAATNCCTAGAAACAACAATATTATACAATCTGACAATCTAATTTAACATTGCGACTGTTTACACCTAAATCTATACTACTTTAAAATATCAGCATACATAAAAAACAATTTGAGAATGGCACATGACAAGATCTAACGGTTATAATCGATTCAGAGAAGGTCCAAGTGAGATAAGGTTGTTATGTGAGATGATATCCAAGAATCTCAGAAAACAAAGTGGTGTGTTAGTTATGACATCATGGGGCCGTCAATTATAGGCAATTTAATGCACAATCGTAGCTATTACAAGGAGAGGTCATGAGTGTTAGTTTCATGACCGAAAAATATGGCTCCAACGATTATAAGTCACTACCTATAAATGCAGAGGTAGAGGCAACAAAGAGGGGATCTCGCGATCACACCCACACAAACAACACACCAGAGCCTTCCTCTGCTCTATTTAGTTTATGCTTTTCATTTTACTCTATAATTCTTTGTCATCACTCCGGTGACTTCTTTCCATTTAATTTCAAGTACAATGGTTAATGCAACGATTCTCCTTTATTGTTTACTCTACTGTTCATTCCAATTCCAAGCTATTTTCAATTCCAGTTTTTTAGCTTGCTCCTAGAGGGAATAGTTTAAGTCCTTGATCTCCAAGACAGAGAAAAGAATCTAGATGTAACTTTACGTTTTGTTTCAATCACCTGAATGGTCATGATTTCAGAACTTCACCCCAGTTCGAGTAGATAAGGTTGTAAGTGTTTGCAATTTTTAAGTCTATTCAAACTTTGGCACATCTCCAATCCAAAATACGCCAAGCATATTTTTTTGCATGCCCAGTGGGATCCATCGCAAGAACATGGCACAAACTCAAGGAAAATCCAAGTCTGGCTTAGCCGATTTGCCTCTGGGAGCACGAAATAGTTGAAAAAGGCAGGTTTGACATTCACAACCTGCAAGAGGAGTTGCCTTCACCTTGTGGCAAAAAAGTTAAGAATCCGACTTAGAGCCAAAGGAATTGATCAAGACACTTTCCCTTGATGTTTCCCAACAAGTATCAGAATTTTTCAATGGCCTAAGAAATTTGATAAGAGAAAAGTATGGCCGCACCAAACAAGCACTGGAGAGACTATTCGAGACCTTGAACAAATAAGGGTTGTAAGGCAACAACTGCTACCCCCAACAGTTGCACCAGTGGAGGCACAACCATTGCCTCCTCTACATTTGTCGTTATCAAGGGCGCAACAAGTTAGGAATTTCTCATGGAGAAATAATAATCCTCTTTTCCAGGAGGATATGCTGCCCATTCTCGAGGTAAGGGAAGAGAGTCTTCAATTATTATTCCGGCGGCACAGCTGGTGAGCATGAATAGAGATCAGCTATATGAGATAATCCAAGAACACGTCGGCCCCGTAGGCCACCATATCGAAAGCATAGGTTGATTGAATGGATAAAGAGCACTAATATCCACATGACTACAAAGTTCTTGTATTCGCAATGTTCTCAGGAGAAGACAGTTAATCAATTGTGGAACATATTGGGAATTTTCACCGTACAATGTGGTAAAGCCGATGCAAATAAGTTATTGAAGTTTATCAAATGAATCACACTCCTTTGTAAACGTCAGGAGTCCATTAATGAGAAGGGGCTAGGGAATGCTTGAACTCAATTCCTATAGTAATGAATATGATCGTAATTGAAATTTTTGAGGAGTCATACATTTCTGTATTGATAAGACCATTCATTATTTCTTGAAGCCTTATCTCTCCCCCAAATGAACCATATAGCCAAGAGAAATCATGAACCAGAATAGAAGAGCTTGCCCTACCCATGACTAAATATTTCATAGTAGCCTCATTAGACCTTACATCTTTCTTGATATATCCAGATAATAGGTAGGTGCATAAAATGAAAATTCTGGAGTTACAAAGATAGTTATTAAATCATTAGCACCACATATATAAAAACATTCCTCATAGAGTTGTTATTTATATTCCATCCAGCCACTTTGAGGATCCCTATAAAATGAGGCATGTAAGGGAGCCACTATGAAGAAGTTCCGGGAGTTACGAAGGAAGGTTCGAGCTCATATTGATCATGGGTTGAGAACGAGAATTGAAATCTATGAGATATATTCTCCTGTTATTCCTCAACAACTCAGTGGTAGAGCGGTCAGTAGTTAACTAACTGATCATAAGTTCGAATCCTATTTGGGGAGATTTGATTAATAAATAATTCTTTAATTAAGAATAAAAGGGCTCACTTTGACTGTTAAGAATAGATAACTCATTCCCTGTCTTTGTTTCTATTGCATTTTATCTCATCGTATCACTTTCTCTAGTGCCATTATTCCTACTTTTGAAGCGATCGGTTTGCACTTTTACCCAATCTTGGAAGCGGCATTGTTGATGAATGGTTATACAATGGTGGTCCTTATGAACTAATTGTTGTGACATGGGTCGTGATTGGGAACTTAGTTTCCGTTTTGGTATGCGACGTTGGATTGCTATTGCATATTCAGCTCTTGTTATAGTTGCTACTACTACTGACTTGATTTACCTAATTGGTCAAGCAAGTTTTTATGATGGTATGCCGCTTTAAATCTCTAATACTTTTAACTTTATGATTGTATTCCTAGCTGAGCACAACATCCTTATGCACCCATTTCACATGTTAGGCGTGGTTGGTGTTTTTAGTGGTTCCATATTCAGTGTTATACATGGTTCCTTGGTAAATTCTAGTTTGATCGGGGAAACCACATAAAATGAATCTACTAATGAAGGTTACAGATTCGTTCAAGAAGAAAAAACTTATAAGCTACTCATGGTCTAATTTACCAAGGGCTATAGTCATAGTGATCATCCTATTCAACTACTTCGACTATTTTCGAGTACCTCATTGTATTTTCAAGGCATCCAAAGAATCTATCATTTTTGTATGATTTCTTGTGCACTACCCTTTCCAATGGGTTTCAAATATATAAATCCTTTATTGGCCCATAAACCGATCGAGGAAAATTCATGAACTTAATTTGATTAAATTCCGTATAGAGATAGTGGACATAATTCACATGGATATATTGAAGTGCTTTAATGGTAGTCTTTATATTTTCCCTTTCACTCGTAGTTTGGAGAAAAAGTGGACTGTAGAGTTTCTACTAATAGACTTAAGGAATTAAACTGTGTCAATTGTTTTATTTACCATTTTGCAACGTTTTTATGAAGCAGGGCCAGGAATGACAAAATGATAAATTGATCTATTTTGCAAGTTCGTTATTACGGGTAATTCCTACAAAGTATCGGACTAATCACATATACAATACTTGAATTCTTGATGTATATGTTACATAATTGGTTCTCATCCTTCAATGACTACGAGTGTAATAGGAGCATCCATCAACAAAAGAATTACCCTAAGATGATCATCTCATGGCTATTGAGAACGAATCAAATTAGAGGGATCTATTGCTTAAGGTTGTTTGTAAACTCCTTGATGGGAACAACATTTCGATGGTACATCAAAATGTCGCCTAACTAAGTGTTAAGATGGCAGCAAGTGGAAGACAAGTTTCATGCACAATTTTATCAAACAAAGCCTAAAGCAGCCATGGCCGACTTGCCTAGATTGTACCAAATGATTGGTGAAATGGCAAAACAGTATATTGCTCATTTCAAAAAGGCTAGGAACAAGTGTAAATTGACCTTGCCAAAAATGAAGTATGTGTGCATCACGTAAAATGGGTTAGTCTATGAACTCTAGAAGTAGTTTGAGGGCAAAAAGTTTAGCAATATGTTTGAGCTGGAGATTTGGCCTACACAACACAAACAGATCCTGCGAAAGGAGCAGGACCAAAAGAATACTTTGAAGGGAAATTACTATCGCAACCCAGGCACTAAAATGCTCATGGTCAAGCAAGACTAGGGCCTGGAGGTAAATTTTAAGGAGATTGTGGTTAGGTGACCATATGTATGTAAGATACTTGATAAGATTTCGAATGAGCAATGCTAGACATAGAGCTCGGCTAGCCAAAAATATGAGTTTGGCATCATCAGATTTTTGACCACCTTCTGGCTAACAACATCATCAAGTTGTCTTATGGTCACAAAATTCCGTCATTCGCAAAGCTCAAAGGAAACATATACTACAAGTGGCAAAATTTGTGGAGCCACTCTACCAACAACTATGTTATCTTTCAAAACGCCATTCAGGATGTCCTGAATAAGGGACATTTAATCTTCGGCAATAAAGGAAAGTAGGAGATGGGAGTAGACAAAGACCCTTTTTAGAAAAGCACTAATATCAACATGATGGAGCAAGTGAAGTCAAAAACCCTACAAAATAAGGTGGACCTCAGAGATGGTAGAAGGAGTCGTGGAGACACGCACAGCGGGGAGAAAGAAACATTTCCCAAGGAGAAGGAGTCCAACAACGATCCTCAAAGAAAGTTCAGATACTTGCCATTGTATAGGAATGACTGAAAATGGTGAAGAAACGTATGTGCCCCAGGTGCAAGGCGTACTACAGGCTCATGCTTGAGGAAGAAGTACGTGAGAAAATGGGAGAAAGACTACGGAAGAGATGGCACTGTAAAGACACCATCTAGGATAGACTAGACAAAGAGCAACCTTGAAGGTCGGATACCAAAGATTAGCCTAACAAGTTCATGAGCTCAAGCCAGTGGAAACACGGCAAAGCCAAAAAGGAGCTCCCAAAGGGCAAGATCATGGTGAACTATGAAGAATTCACCATGAAGATGATGTCTGAATAGGCCATGACTGTTGAAGGATGGTCAAACCAACAAAACCTGTGGAAGGAAGATGGTATGTGGCTCGACATCCCAAATTCTCACAATATCACTAGTCGCCACCAATGATAAGAACTTAAAAAAGAAGATGGCAATGCATCCAAGTGCAGATGCGGGAATGGGAGACCGAGCAAGAAAGGGAAGCTGAACAAGTAAGGGTGGCTTTTGCTTGGATGTGGTCTAGATTAGTCTTTGATCAAACCAAAAAGTGAGTCATCCCCACCTTGACAATATTCAATAGCACCGACAAGAGCAACAACTACCAAGAAAGACAAATAGAAGGTAGACCCAAAAATCTCAACTAGAGGAGGACATCTAGGAGTGTGTGGTGCACAAGGTAATGAAGCACCTAAAAGACACCTTGAATTTACCACTGGAGCCTGCAAAGGGTGTAAAAAAGAAGAGAAAAGTAGTAGAGAGAACAACAACGATGGAAACCCTATCCAATTTGGGACTCTTGAACACTGGATTTCCATTAACGCATTGTGCATGCTGCTACCAACCTTCTAGCCAAGGGGTCAGCAACCTGATTCACTAGATGAAATGTTAAAGAGATAGAGACGCTAGGCTCCACCTTCACAAATAAAATAACCTGGGTTGTAGAAAGCCAACCAGAATATAATTCTAAAATCAGCCCAACAAAATGGTTGAGGGATAATAGCATAAAGGTACGAGATGATCTGATTGGGGCTATGTTTGAAAAGCATTCCTGACCAATGACTCAACAGCTTAGGCCACTATATATCCAAGCACACTTAGAGGGCAGGCCCTTCACTCGAGTTTTGGTAGATAACGGTGTTGTTAACATTTTGCCCATTGCAATGACAAAGAAGCTTGGGAAGGGGGAAAAGGACATAATTTCTACTGACTTGATAGTTAGCTGCTTCACTGGTGGAATTAACAAGATCAAAAGGGTCTAGCCAATTGAGTTGGTGATAGGAAGCAAGGCCAACATGATATTATTTTTTGTCATGGACACAATGGCCTCGTACAATGCACTCTTAGGTCAGGATTGGATCTACCTGAATGAATGCATACCCTCCACACTCCATTAACGATTGGTACTATGGATCCAAAATGAGTTAGAGGTGGTGGTAGCTGATAATATCCATTTTTGTAGCTAACTTACCTATAGCCGATGATAAAAGGATAGGACTAATGAAGCTCTAGGGACAAGATAAGTATGAGAGGCCCAAGGAGGTCATCTTTCAGCCCAATCTGAAGAGTTTAGAAGTCCAACAAGTAGAGGAATAGGTCATCTAGCCCACAAATATGGTAAGGCCAGACAACAAGGAGACAACCAACAGGCTAGTTAATGATGGAAGTCTACCCCAGTTGCCTAAAACAAGGTTAAAAGAAGGTGATTTATGACCAGCCTACATTCGCTTAGCTCAATAAGCTTGTTGTAAACCCAATGTTGCACGTGGCCAGTAGGCACCAAGATGCCATCAATATGTTGGATTGTATTGAAGAGGAAGGTAAGGTCTCCACCCTCACAATATCTCATTGAATTTGACAAAATAGGTGTAGCCTCAGCCAAGCTTGATAACTTTTAGCGAGGTCCAAGACCTACTACTTGAAGTTAATCTTTGAAGGCCTGAAGAAAACAAACATGTGTTCGTCAATAAGTTACTCGAGCTGAACTTCCAAGCACGAATCATACAGCTGCTTAGAGAATATCGAGATTGCTTCACATGGAATTATGAGAAAATGTCAAGACTGAACTCTGCATTGGTCGAACATTAGCTACTGATCAAGGAAGGTTATAGGCTAGTTAAACAAGCTCCCAGGCTGATGTCCAACAAAGTAACTCTATTGGTTAAAGAGGAGATTGAACGACACATGCAAACCAAATGTATTTACGTGGTGTGATGAGTTGAATGGGTTTCGAATATTATGCATGTAAACAAGAAAAAGGGCAAGATTAGGGAGTGTTGCGATTATTGGAACCATAATGCAGCCACCCCGATAGATGAGTATGTTGTGTCGATGGCCGACCAGCTAGTGGATACTGCGGCCATGAACTTCATCATGTCGTTCATGGATGGGAACATTGAGTCATCATTAGATTTTCATTGCCAAAGAAGGTCAACACAAGACTGAATTTTGATGGCTTGAATTGATAGGTACATTCAAATAGAGGGTCATGTCATTTGAACTAAAGAATACAAGAGAAACTTACCAGAGAGCCATGAATACCATCTTCTATGACATGATTAGCAAAATCGTTAAAGTATACATTAACAATATCATAGTCAAGACTCAAAATATGGAACACCACCTAAACAACTTAAAGAATGTATTCGAAAGGATGGGCATCCACTAACTGAAGATGAATTCCTTGGAGTGCGCATTTAGGATAACCGCTAAAAAATTTCTAGGTTCCTGATGCGTAAAAAAAGGATCAAGGTGGA